AGACATGTATATAACAGTGATTCACTGGATGAGTTGAAGGCCTAGAGATCAAAGAAGCTGCTCTTCACATGCACTTTAATAAAAAAAAATTTATTTTAAATCTGAAACAAATAAACTGTCTTTTAAATGTGTTGATAAATTAAACAGCTGACTGCCAGGTTGCCATGGATACATTGTTCCATTCATAGTACCAGACTTTCCTAATAGTTGGGACCTAAGTAACAAAAGAACAACATTTATTTTATGAAGATTATAATTATTCACAAGTTGTGTATGTTCCAAACTTGCAAATTTAAAAAGTGATAGAGTAAACAAAATCCAAACCACAGATTAAGATACAGGGGAGAGAAAGGAATTTAGGTATTGAATACAAGTTAATAATGAAAGCTGTTCTAGGGTCTTATCAAATAAGCTAAGAACTAAAATAGAATCATGGCAGAGACAAGGCTGTTTTCTCCCAAATATCACATTTCCCCTAATAGGGTCAATTTGTTATTCATAAAAGGGCAAAATGAGTAGGTAGTATGACAACTCTTTTTAACAACACTACTGTATATGAATGTCAGAATTCCTGAAACTGGGTTAAATGTGAATGGCTGAGGCTGCTCGAAAGAAAAACTTTTACTTAAGGTCTGTGGGATTGTTTCATAAACACCACTGTTACATATTAATATAATCAACAATACACCCTCTTGCTGGAGCTCATTGGGCTAGATATAAAAAAAAAAGGAAATCAAACATCCTGTTTATTGATATTCTTAATGACTGATGTGTTAAAAAGGAAATATATAAACAAAGGAAAAACATTTAAAAATGTGTCATGTGGCTATCATTTACTCTTGGTAATTCAGGGTAGCCTTAAACTGTGGACTTTGAAACATTTGCCTTATAACAACTTGGAGTACCAGCTAAAATGCAGATTCCTGGGCCTGTCCCAGATGTAATGAATCTGAGTTTTTGGGTGTGGGTCCCAGGAATATGAGTTTTACACAAACTTCCATCTGATTCTTTTGTACAAAAAAACCTTAGAGATTTTGGTGCTATAGGGCTTAAGCTTTCTACTTTTTGGTCACTGTAGAGCAGTACCTTTATCAGAAGACAAGCAATGTAATAAAAACAAATGCACCTTAATTTCTATGTTGTTGAATACAGACCTCCTTCCTAAACTCTTGCTTGATTTCTTTCTTAGAGAAGCACAAGAAATTTTACTTTGCCCCGGATGACCCCAGGATTTCCACCACTAGTCTCTAACCTTCTCCCCTAAAACACATTAAATCTTGACCTTTTCCTTTTGTAATCCATTCACATACTGGTTTGGTTCTGTTCATTTGCCCTTTGTATATACCTTATTTATACATTACTTCATTACTGTTGTCTTAATATGCTTCAAGACTTTTACATAAGACTTTGATAATGCATGTATCTCATATTTTAACATGAAATAGCTAACATACGACATGGAGATATTCAGCTGCATGTTTAATCAGTGCTTTTTGATGTTTTTTTTTTTGGTTTTCATTTCTGTATTACTAATTTGTGTGGTAACTAATTTGGAAAATAGCAGACTGGCACAGTGACCATAACTGTAGGTCTCAATAAGATGGTTCTGTTCTCAAAAATCCGCTTTTCCAATTAGCAAGTGCCACAAAAATGAAAATAAAGTGAAGTCTTTCAAGAGTATACTGGTTGCCTTTCTGATACTATTGCTCACTTGGAAAACCAAAACTAAATGTCATATCATCTAACAATTGACATGCTTGCTCAATTGATCTTTAAGAGTGGTTAACTATATAGAAAATGTTCCTGGGTTTTGAAGTATATTCCATAAAACACATGCTCCTTTAACTGACTTTTTTCTTAATGGAGGCAATTTTCTGTTGACATGTTAGGAACCATTTTCTATTATGTGGTCAATTAAAATTTCTACTTTATATTATTACACACTTTTACACATTAATGAAGACTCACTTTTTCTTGCCTAATTCTTGTAAGAATACTAATTCTTAACTACTTTTTAACTTGGTATTTAATGTAAAAAAATTCAAATTTTGAAGAGCTGTAGGAATAAACTATTCCAAAACTAGACAATAAGAACTTTCATTATTGATGGTAAGAATATTACAATATTCTTTATGAAAATAAATTCTCTCAGAAATAAAAGTTCCTGAAAAATTAAATAGAACATAGATAGGCCAACTAAGAATAGCTTATTGTATTGAAGTTTTTAATATCTTATAAAATTAAAAGTCAAATGCTTTTCATACTTGTTTTTTAAAGTAATCTTAAACCAATTGCCAGTAATAAATACAAGAATGTCTGTGGTCCTATTCTTCATAAACTTAAAAAAAAAAAAGGCAACCATCACAGAAAAATAAAGGAGTCATTCGAAAATCTCATAGGGATTTCAATTTATTATTAACAATTAAATAATATATAAGCTTAGGTATAAACTCATTAATCGCACAGGGTAATATAATACTGAACACTACAGTTAAAAACATTAATGCCATTCAATAAAGTGGTAAACTGCTAATTTCTGTTGTTATAACGTAAACAGTAATTGCTATTTCGTTTAAATGAAATTAAGAAAGGCACTGGTACAGATTTTACTAACAATTGTTTACTTTGTTTTAATTGTTACCAAGTATAAAAGAATGGCAAAAAATGTTACATATGCAGGATAATGGTTTTTATCAATTGCTGTATGAAAAATACACAAATAACTTTAGGTTTTTATTACCTAGAAGCTTTAGAAAATTTAGAACATTATTATAGCCATACTTAAATAAGAAAGCAAATGTAAACATTTTCAATTAGGTATGATGAGACTCGTGAGGCAAGTTAAGACAACATAGCCCACTCTTTTAACTACATATACTATAGGCATTTTACTCACTTTGACTCTGTACTAACTTGGGCTCCTCCCCCAAGTTATAGAGTCAAACACTAGGGCTGGATTAGAAAAGCATCAGGATGTTGGGGATGTGTATGAGGACCAGGAACATTAAGTTTGAGTGCAATCTCTGTATTCCATAGCCAAATACAAATGGTTCTTAGTTGTGTGTCTTCTCTGTATTTGTATGGATAATTGAGAATTGATTTAATTATATGAACAGACATTATGTTCCAAACCACCAAGACAAATTTCAGGCAAACTATGCTTTGAAAAGAATTACACTACTGTGTTAAATGTCTTTCTTAGTCTATTTCCAAACAGGAAGATAGCTTTCAGATTGCTCGGCTTTGAGAAGGTAATTTGGTTATTTCCTTCTAAGAAACAAAAATCTGGAAAGCTGCCATTGATTTAAGAAAAGTTGCAAAACCATTTACAAAACAAAAACTAAATTATAAATTCTAACATAAGCAAGGATTACCCTATGTCTTTTTGTACATTACAAAAGAACATGTTAAAATAGGATTTAAGTATTGCTGGATTATCAGATATATCAGGCAAAAATTCATACACAAAGGCCAAAAGTTATAGTTGATGTACATCTTTTGGCATTTTAGCAATTTCATGAATTCAAAGGATTCATAAATAAAAGAGAACAACTTCTGCTAGAGAAAAACACCCAGGAAAGCAAAAAGTATTTAAAGGCAGAAAATAAAACAGGAAAACTTACTGAACAACATTAACTGGTAAGTTGTATTTGCATGATGGTCTCATTATGGTGACCTTATATCCATTTTATTTTTTTTATCACTTATGTGAAATAGATAGGCTAGTCATAAATTAAGAAATGGAAGTACCAGACCTCTTCAGCAATTTATACTTAATGACCTTTCTCTAAATAGAACAAAAGTACAAGGTCAATTTGTTTTTTGACTAGTATACGAAGTTTTCATTCTGTCATGATTAGAAGATGAAGTGAGGCAACTCTGGATAATGGCAGATCAAGATTGGAACTCAGCTCTTCTAATGTCAAGTTCAATGTTCTTCCACGGGGAAGACAGAATTTCATTTCAATCCCTTTTCTTTTTTCCTGCCACTCCTTTCCAAACTGTTGAAGAACTTAAAGCCCATAAAGAGAAGTTATAACTTGCCCAAGACTACTAGGCCTAAAAATGGCAGAGCTGAGAGTCTAAAACCCAGATCACCCATAGCAGCCTTTATATAGGGCCTCTCTTGTTTCTGTATTAATTAAAACAATTTTTTAAGGTTTGAAGGCATTCCCTTGATTTAAAATTTATTTTAATAAATAAATGGCAGAAGTATGCCACTGGCAGAGAGTGGAATTAAAGATGGTTGCAATGAAATTCCCATAAGCTCCCCAAGGACTCAGTAACAACTGCATGGTTGTTTCAGGGTAATTTTTTTATCTTTACTTTCATTTCAAGCCACTGGCATTCATAAGAACACAAAGAGGGCAAGCATATTAATCACATTTATTATTACTTTTAAGGACGAATGACTTGGATCTCATGCTTTAGATGGTTGGGTGAAGGTTTTCCTAGCCTAAGAGATAGAAGCTACATTTGACCCTATGTTGGTTTTTTAGCAGCATTGTTAACTGGAAGCAGCCTTAGGGGACTGCTGTCAAAAGGAAATCTGTAAATAGTACCCAAACTTCCCCCCCACTTTAAAGTGAAAAAGTCCAACTCCACTTCTTCATAAAACATGTTCTTCCTGGAAATCCACTGAATCCAGTGAAATAAGATAAATTCTCAACCATATCTCACAAAAGGTATCTTTAAGAAATCACCAAGCTATAAAATGCAGATACACTATCTGTATCTTTCACGATAGTCCAGACCAATATAGTAAGGATTGTTTAAATCCTTGTATAAAACAGAGAAGAGGGCCTTAATCCAAATCAATCAAATACATCATAAGAAAAAAAGGGGTGTGTGTGTGTATATATATATATATATATATATATATGTATGTATGTTTACGGGTCGTTTTTTTCAAGGAAAACTATGAATTGAAAATTACATATTTTCACATATGTATTATACATGTATACAAGTTATCTCCATGTCACATGTGGTGAACCTACCTGTGTATATTATCTTGGCCAGAAGGAACTACACCTACATTGGCAACACTGACAACCTTCTGAAGGATCACGGAGGGAGTGAAATTCTGTGGTGCAGCAATGATTGCAGCAGAAGTTTCATTCATCCCAGTTAGCATTCCTGTAAGAGCAAAAGAAGGTTCCCTTTTACTAACTTCTTTATGAAAATTATATTAAAATAATTTTAAGCTCATAGCCAAAATTAAAAAATATATTTGAAGAAAAACAACTCCTGAATATAATTTACAATTACCATAAAATGAACTGCCACTGTTTCAAAAATTTTTTTAAATATTCATTGTGTAAGAAAATGTGTAAAAACGTGGTCCAGTATCACTCTTAATAAATCTGATTTTAAATACTCCAGGTTAAAAACAGAATCACAAAGATGAAACTTCGATCTCAGTCCCCTTAGTACTACTCAATTAGTTTGGGCTCCATAAAGAATTTTTTTCGTCTCCTTTGATTCACGGACCTCTCTTGCCAAATGCTGCCTGAGGACAAATCAAAGTGGTTCTGGAGTAACTGGCAGCACTACCTGCTGAAGGGCCTCAGTATGACGGATCAACATTATCTTAACAATGACTGGAAGTCACTGAAAACGGTTATGTGGTTCTAAAAAATGTGCAAGTATCTAAGCTATAGTGATAGTAGTTGTGAAAAACATATAGTTAATGACAAAACACCAATTAAAGTTTCTTAAGCTAAACACCTGAAAACAAAGGAAAAAACGAGAATAGAAAACCTTAAATCCCAGAGACATTTCAAGTAATATTGAAGAAACGAAGTTAAACAACATCATGAACAAAAACCATACAGAATTAACACAAAACATGCCATTAATATCAGAATCTCATGAAAAATGTTTAGTGAATAAATTCAGTAACATACAAAACACTTGGACCAAATATTGAAATTTAGTCTCCAAGTTTAAAAAATACAAAATAATTTTAATAAATGCCATCTATTTAGATCTGTGATACAAGTCATTGACACCTAATGGTATCTACTAAAAATGGTAATCTTTTGAGACATTTGATATATGCACAATGGCTTACACAATTCATAAAAATGTTGAAATTTGATTGTATGTTTTCAAAAGGTCCCGCACCTTTGGGGATATATATTTATTTGTTGCAAATGCAACCCCCCCCCAAAAAAACCCCTCTATGATTAGCAGTATGAAGACACTAAAGTCTAACACTAAAAACATTTCCCTAGCCTTTAACAAAGAGTAGTTTTTACTAACCATTTTCAAACTCGGGGACACTATGTTCTTAGACTGTTTAACTTCAGTATTAGGCAAAAGCTTTAAAAACTACACAAGCAGTCAAACATTGCTTTTAAGTAAAGCACAGTGGCTGCTGACATAACACTGCTGAGAGATGTGCGTACTAATTTAGGATTTAAACCTTCTCCATTAGGCTCTATTGAAGAGCAACTGCTGAATAAATGAATGCAACTATGTTTATGTTAAAAGCCTGTTTCCCCGCAGCATGTAATTAAAGGAAATGTTGTACAAAGCCAGTACTTTTGTCAAGCTCCTGTAAATGGAAAGATGGATAGCACTCAGAGAAGTGAATGCATTGCTTCATATTTAACCTTAACACTCTTGTCATTAATGGTTTGTCTAAGTTGGTCTATAAAAGACAAGGTACTGCTCCATTGAAGTAAAATTTAAAAAATCAACTAAACCATGCTTTTCAGAACAGAAGATTCATTATCGTCAGCTAATGTATTGGCATAAAGCAAAGTAACATCCTATCAAGTGAGGCACACATTCAATCTGCCTTCCCACCCCCCTTTATTTTTAACTCATGCTGTTTTATTGTTATAGGCAATTTGTACCACTCAGCATGACAGTGTAAACTGAATCAAGATTAATTTACATGCAAAAGAACACTTAGGAGAGCAGCATGGTAAGCAAATGTATTGTCTCGATTGCTGAGGTGGAAAAAGAACCTGGAAGGAAAAAAAGGTGCGCTAATTAAGGGGCATCAAATATGATTGCTTGTGGTAGTTAAGGGCCAGAAAATAGTAAATGTCTGACCATTTAAAGAATTAGCATCTTGCTAGCTAGGAACCCATAAGATGGATGCATACATCATAATAAAATTAAGTAAACATTCTAGGTTTCTTAAACTGGAGATTTTTCTAAATGAAAATATATCAGGTATTCTCAAATTAACGAGAAAGAAAAACATGCCAAGGTTTCATTAAAAGTTTCTCCTATAAAAACAGATTTTAAACAATATGTAGCCAGCTCGTATATAATAAAGGGAAAGTTACTGGGAAAATATTTAAAAATTGTCAGACTACAGAATTTGTTGCTTCACTGGAATTTATATAAATTTTGGTGAGGCAGTGGACAGCATTTAACTTAGGTTAATCAGCTGTAATTAACTGCTAAAATGTAAAATAATATAAGAGAATATAATTAAAAATTTTTTCCTATGTTTTAAATTTCCAATTTAATTGAGAAGAAGAAAATGACTAAGAGGAAGCAATTTGGAATAAGCAATTGGTATAGGTCTCCAATTTAAATTGCCTCAAGAAACCAAATCGTATTTTTTTAAGTAAAAGAGAGATTGCATGTTATTTACAGTACTGAAATCATCCCAGAACTAGATCATTAACTAACTGCAAGGTTCAAAACTCACAGCAATTAAAAAATCATGCTTCTGGTTAAGGCTCATAAAATGAATGCTACAGATTAATTTTAATATATAGGATAAACCAATCTTTCATTTAGCACTTTGTAAACATGCATGTTTAGCTATGGAACTCTAAATGCAACGACTGAGTAAAAGTGATATAGATCAGGCTGCTTATTAGAAATAAAACTTCTTTTTCAAAAAACAATCTAATATGTATGATCTGTTAGAGGTATTAATATTGTGTACACTTAAATTATGTACATCTTTAGTATAAAAACAGAACCACATTCCTCATGTTTTTTATTTATAATTTTTTCAGTTAAATCACAATACATTTAATCATTTTAGTCCCAAATTTATACTCTGTGAAATGAGATATTAAGTATATAAATTCATTTTATTTAAAGTAGAACAGTTTAAAGCTAGCATGTAATGACACAGATTTATGGTATTTTACCTTTCAGAAGTCTGCATTGATAAAATCTGAGGAAACTGATTTTCACTTTGATTTAGGATTTTCAGTTAGTGAGGCATTTCTAGGTATCATTTGTGAAATAAGCTAAGCTCTTCCTAGAATAGTATAACAAACAAACACATGTGTAAAGTTGAGGATTGAGACCTCTATTACTAAACCAGCTGAAATCTATAACTAAAAAGATGCTATTGAAAAGACTCTTTAAACCTGTGGTAAATTTGCCAGCATCAAGTCCCATATCAAAAAATGAATTCAGGAAGACAGAAAGAATGATACAGAAATGCCAAGAGACTTGCAAGGATTTACAAATACTTCATACAAACAAATTTTCAAATAGCTTTATTCAGAGTAGCCTTTCTGCTCTATTAAACATAGCAAACAGCTGCCAGATTTATTCAGACAAATAATCAACAACCATAGAAGTAAAATGGCAGAAGAAAAAGGAATTTTGGCAACAACTGCACAGAGGACCACAGCTGTTCTCCAAGTACACCTCTCTCATGCACTTATGGTTCTGTATGGCTAGCCAGGGAAAAATCCCTCAGTCATAACAGAGCCCCAAAAACTTAATCAAAACATCAAGTATTTTAAATCAAAGCTTAGGGACAGAAAGGGTATATGATAATCTGCTGCTTTGCTGCATCTTTCAAAGAAGGAATATCCTCTTAATAAGTGTACCCAAACCTTAGTCAGTCAGTCACTTATGTGTCACTCACCTTGGTTTGCTGAGCAGGTATAAAGCAGAGAGACAGGCTTTAGCCAGCAAAGGGTAAGAATAGCAAATGCAAGAATCAATTCAATTTGTCAATACAAAAATAAAATCACAGAGATGATTTTCTTCTACAGCAATAATCAACTTCCAAGAAAAGCAAACACAAAGATGGATTTAGTCATTCTTTTTTATCACTTAAAAATAAGGAAGAATAAAATATTATTATTAATTTACTATTAATTTACAGCCTTGTATGAGATTTTCTTTGTCAGATTCTTCTACAACAGGTCTTTCTGACATTGTGTATTGCAGAGGCTTACGGTAAAAAAAAAAAGCCTTTGGCACTGCAATAATGGAGTGTCAGGAAGCTTGCCCTTTTCCTTAGATGTAGATATTTGTGTTTGCCTAGTACTTTCTGGAAGCTTGACAAGTATGACTTAATGACTTTGAAATGACTTTTTGATAAAATCACTCCAGAGAAAAAAGGAGCCTAGATTCATATAAACTTTTAAAAATTGCTGACTATACCATTTAAGTATGTGCTAGTTTTTAAAATTACTTTGTTAAAGTGTCATTGATACACAATCTTATGATGGTTTCATATAAACAACACAGTGGTTTTTACATTCACCCATATTGTCAAGTCCTCGCACCCTCTATTGCGGTCACTGTTAATCAGTGTAGAAAGGTGTTATACTCGTACTTGTCTTCTCTGTGCTGTACTGCCTTCCCTGTGGCCTAGATTGTGATTACTAATTACTGTGTCCCTTTATCTCCTTCTCCCTCCCCCCAGCCTCCACAGCCCCTCCCTTTGGTGACCACTAGTCCCTTCTCAGTGTCTGTGAGTCCACTACTATTGTGTTCTTTCAGTTTTGCTTTGCTTTTATACTCTACAAATGAGTGGAATCATTTGGCATTTGTCTTTCTCTGCCTAAATATGTGCTAGTTTTATAAATGTTATCCTTACCTAATACATAAAGTCAGATGGAATAATTTCCCTTTATTCATATAAGAAAAGAAATTTTTTTTTATTAGAAGGTATGCTTGATTCTGGGGCAAGCACAACATATTAATACTTTTATTCTGCTGAAAATATTTTCTTTTTAGGTACATTTAAAAATATATTTCCGCTCTGATGTAGTCTGACAACAGCATTTCTTTAATATAGAATTAGGTCAAAAGAAAATGGAGGTGTTTTAATGCTGTAATTAGGACTTTATTTTGAAGGGTAAGGCACTCTAACTTGTGCAAGGAAAAATATATTAGGAGGACATGAAAAACAGTTCTATAGTGAAAGAAAATACAGAAATGTAACATTTATATTGGGAGGAGTTTGGTAAGCCCCAAATTCCTGACATTTTCACTAATACAAAACACATAAGTACATTAGGTTGACAAACCACAACTTCAAAACTGAAAAGTTAATTAGGAATCAGTTTATTAGTTTAAAGACATATTAATCAATTTTCAAGAATTCCAGAAATGCAACCAAACATACTTTAAAGGTTATTTTTTAGCAAAAACTGGAAGACTGTACACTGATATCTGCTAATGGCTATGTATATACGGTAATTTATTTTAGAGACCAGACAGAAGAATGAGCAAATACTGTTCGGATGTCAATTTTCTGTAAATTGTAGTGATTTCTCACCTTGCTCCTTCTTAAAATCCTTCTCTGACATAGCCACAGGTAAAAGCAGTTCTCCAACAGGTGGCTGAATATTAACATTGAAGCAATCATCCTTGGTACTATGGAAAAAATACATGAAAGCTGACTAAATGCTTAAAAAAATAAACATTCTTCTTAATACTATGCAGTTAAATAGTATTATGAAATAGCAATTAAAAGCATATGCCATCAGCATGTAAAGTGTAAGATCTTTTTGGCTCAACTATCACAGCTAACAAGGCTTGAAAACTTTCTCAACTATTTGCAGAGAAATGCATCTGTCATCTCAATCGGAAAACATTCTCTTTTAACAAAAACATGCAGTTATAATAAATACACCAATTGACATAGAACTTTTAAAAACAGGTAAGCAATATCCACTACCACAGGAACATTTCATATAGCTTTTAGAGAAGTAATATTTTACCTTTACTTTGCATGCTGAAAAGTATAGATAGAAGATGGAGCGTTTTAGTCTTAAATAAAGATCTTTTTAAATACAGAGTAGTTTTTAATGAAGAATAGAGCAGTGACCACACTGTGCTCATATATGTGCTAATAAAAGAATACATCACCTGCAAACTTGTTTTCTTAAAACAAAACCTTTATTTTTTAGCAGTGTTGCTCAATGGCATGAATGATCAACATGGTGAAAGCTATTATTTCAAATGACAGGATATGAAGAACTCAGAAAAGGCAACTTTGTATTTATACTAGGAAAACAACAGTGAGTACATCTATTTCCTTTAAATCTTATCACACTACTCTCTCTAAAAAAAAATTACTAAAAACTGCTTACAAATGCGTTTGAAGTTAGGTTTATCAGCAGGCATATCAGTTAAGAAAGTAAAAGTGTTAGGCAGAAAGATGATATGAGCAGGATGAAACGAGGGAAGGGCCCACCAAGAACTCAGGGAGTTAATCAGAGTTAAGCCACAGAGCCAGAAAGGACTCATGCCCTTTGCAATGTGTTCCTTCCACATGCACTGAATCTGGGCTGACCTTGAGACTTGCTCTAGCTAATGCTGGTGAGATAGGGCACAGACATGAGACAAGCATCATGATTAACTTTCCTAAAAATGTTGAGATGTGAATAGCATAGTGGGAACAAGAAGGACTCATCTTGAGGCTAGGAGAAGAGAGCTGGGAAGTTAGGTTCCTGACATATTCTTTGGTAATCAGCCAATGACTTATCGTAAGGAAAGGCAAGCAGTCTTAACTGATGTTTCCAGTACTTGGAAGTAGCCACTACCTTAGGGAAGAACAAAAAGTTTGTCCTACAGAATTACCTAGTGGACTGACTACAGACAATGACATATTGTCCCTCACCAGAGATAGAAATCATGAGACTGCCTGACAACCCTACAACTCCCAACCCTTTACCTTTGCCCCATTCTTGAAAGCCTTAAAAGACAGCATCCCAGCTTTTGGGTGCACCTTCTCCTCTCTGAGGTTGCCTGCACTTCCCTTTCTTTGAGTGTGCCACTCTCTTTGTCCTACTCCAGACAAGTAGGGAGGGGCTTTGAGAACTCTGATTTGGGCTTGCAAGTTCCTGTTGCCTGGGACCTGGATGGAACTGCAGCTGTACAATCGTGATCCTTAGTCGCCTGCCTGAAAATCTCTTTTCTTTACTTTGAGAAGTTCTCAGAACATAATCTCACTCCATCCAGTGCTCTGTGGCATCCCCAAATCCTGGGGTGGTAGGGGCTTAGTTCCCATGCCATGCAGATTCAAGAGGACACTGGATGCCAGGTGACCCTGGCTTTAGGAGTTGGCAGGGGACCTGCCCTTTGCTGAGCAGCAGTTCAATGAGCTTCCCTTTCCTCCCTCTGTTTTTCCTTCCCCTCTGCTTTATTCAAGTAAACCTGCCTTTGTCTAACTTGACTGTAGCCCACTCCTCCTTTGGAGGAGTTCAGTATAGAGGAGTATTCAAATAGCACTTTCATTGTGCTTCACTACTGTGTGTCTGCCCTTCAGTTCTTTGTTGCGGTGGGGACAAGAATCAAGAACAAACTCAGCCACCCAACAAAAGTGTTGGGCTGCAAATAAGCAGAACATCCAGCTAACAATTCTTGAGAAATATGTTAACTGTTTAGCATACAAGTCCTGGAATTACCAAAGGCTGTTTCAATGGTGTAAAGATGCTGTTAGGGACCCAGGTTTCTCTAAGCTTTAAACTCTACCATCTCTAGGGTGTTGGCTTTCAGCTGCTGCATCGCCAGCTACCATTTTTACATTCCACTGAAGAAGGAAGAGTTATGGTGGAAGAACAGTGAATAATTGAGTCAACCAAATCTGTTTCTTTTTTTAAATTAGGAAAACAAAAGCTTTCCTGAAAGTCCCATGGAAGAACTTCTAGTTTTGTGTTAGAACTGGATCTACTGGCCACTGGGAAGGGGGAGAAGAGGATTGTGGATATGAAATACCAAACATTAGGTTAAGAAATACTTTACTGAATCCAAGGACAAACATTATAATTTGAAGGAAAAAAGAAAAAAAAATCCACTTTTATTTTATGCTATTATACACTGTATTTTTGTAAGCTGCCTTATATTTCTTATGGAACAAGGTAAGGACTAGACCAAATGAGAATGTTTTGAATTATTCACATGTGGATTGTCCAATGTAAACAAATAAATTCAATTTACTTATTAATTCAATAAATATTTACTGAATACAAACTTGATCCCATGTACTGTGTGAGTATCTGGGGATTTAAAGACAAGTGAAACTGGTCCTTGAAGCTCACAGTCTAATGAGGGAGTGGGTCCAATTATGTTTATAATAGACTGGTTAACTAGTTAACATAATCCCATTAAGTTAATACCAGCTTTCACTCTCTAAAGTATTTCAATTTGTATGATAAAATATATGGTTATCTTATTCATATAACTAAGACAAAGGTGTTTCAATGTTTTCTGAAGCAACACGTAACTACAAGAGACTTTTTTTTTGATTATTCATTTGATTTTTATACTTGATTTATATGTGAATCCCACATTTCTCCCTTATTATTATTTTTTTTAATAAAATGCTGAAATGGTAGGTAGATGTAAGATAAAGGTAGAAAACATAATTTAGTGCTGTAAGAGGGCAAATGTAGATCTCAGGTCTGTGCCTATAGACTAAGTATTAATCCAAGCTAAACAAGGGCAACAAAACATCCACAGATGCAGAAGATTTCTCTCAAAACAGGGGGGGTGAGGTTCTAAGCCTCACCTACCAGAGACTTTTGACATAGAAAAATAATGATCCTGTTTGTATTTCAGAAATTCTAGTGGCAGCGTGTAGGTGGAGTAGTGGCGAAACCCAAGGCATGCAGATGGGTCAGGAATCTAATTTAATAGTCTAGGCAGGTGAATTTAGCATTGACTGCATATTTTACTTTAGTAAACCTTAACAGTGATCCTAAGAGGTAGCCTCTGTTGGCCCAATTTATTGATAGAGAAATTGAACAACATGCCCAAGGTCATGCAGCTAGCAGGTGGCAATGCTGGGATTTCACCTCAGGATTATCCTATGTCAATACATATCCATGATGTTGATATGTACCCACTGTGTAAGGCTGCTTCCCTAGGCTAGACAGCCCTGGGAATGGGGAAGATGGGAGTATTTAGAGTGAAAAGGGACAGATCTGGTGATAGATGGGAAGAAGAGACTTTGAACCTATTAGTGTGAACAACTACTGATGACAAGAAGTTTTAGGGATTAGACAAAATTACTTGGCTTAAATCATGCTGTATTTTGAGTACCATATAATTACCCAGGAGATGTATTTAGTAGATAATTGGAAATACAAATCAAGAATCACAAGTAAGTCAGGACAGTCTGTAAGAGTTTGGAAGTAATCAGAATGGTGCAGGAAGAGCTGAAGCCTTACAAATAGGTAAATTCACATAGGAAAAGAGGATATACTGGAAAAAGGTTGAGACGGAAACCTGGGGAAAACTTGTATTTAAGTGGAAGAGATGCAACCTGCAGAAGAGATTGGGTGAGTGGTCAGTGAGAAAAGGTGGGTGTCAGTGCAGGGAGGAATAAAAAGAAGCAAGTGTAACTGCTGACCTTAGCGAGGCAGTTCGGGCTGGAGGAAGAATGCAGAATGCAGTGAGTTGAAGGGTGAATGGAAGACTGGCAATGAAAGACCTGACAGAAAGCCAAACTGTCATGAGGGTGTGGCGGCAAAGGGATGATGCTTAAAGAAACCAGTGCATGCTTAAAGGCTGAGGGGAAAGTGCCAATGAAGAGGAACAAATTTTGGAATAAATGGTAGAACAAGGTTTTAGCAGAGATAAGTGAGGAGGACGGGATTAGGAGCACAAGAAGGTGATGGGGCAGTCCAGAAAGGGGGTAGAATACTTCTTCCGGAATCAGCAGAGGAGGGGTGAGGATGGGGGGAAGTACCGAGGCAGGGCCCTTGAAGGACGAGACCATGCCCATTGGAGTGGAAGGCAGAGTCACATGAGAGAAATGTTTAATGGCCAAGGAGAGAGTAAGTGCATATACATGCATACCTGAACTATATAAATATAATGAACTAATTTAGTATTAAATATAAAATTTCAGCTTCATATAACTGGATAAATTAGTGTTCCCTAAAGTGGAAAGCATATGGCACTCTACAGAGGTAGAAAATCCATCAAGGAAAAAAACCTAGGAAAAAAAATACATTTATTTTTTCTCATGTCTTTTTAAGTTCTATTTTTGTCTGTATATGATATTTTAGTATATACATATGTTAGCATACATAATTAAAAATAAATTTATACATACAGTGAGCACATGGTAAAAATATTTCACTAATAGAGGTGCACACACAATTCAAAAAGGGGACTACTGGGTTAAGTTATATGTATTACACTACTTTTACTCTTATTTTCTTTTTAATTACAACCGAAATGACTGATCTTCTTCCCAACACTCCTGACGGATACCATTTACTTTCTTGATTAAAGGTAGCTGTGCAGCACTGATGCCCAGGGAGAAGGGGGTAGAGAAGAGAAAGAAGGGAAAAAAGATGTGCCTTCTAAAGTATATATGAAAATGTAGGTGGGTAAACAGCAGATTTAAGTTTGGGGTGGGG